TAATAAAATATTAATCAAATTATGTTACAGAAATAATTAGACAATGCTAAAAAATTAAAAAGTATCTGTGAAAAAAATGTTGTAACTTAATAACATGTAATACCCTGCGGATTACTAGATGTCAGTGAAAGTAGAAAATACATAAGCAATCGTATAACCTCGATACATTTGTAGGCGTGAAGTTTATCTGTATATGGAAATTAAATAAATCTTAATAAATTAGCGAATCAAACCTTCGAGTTATATAAAACATGAAGACAGACATTACTGATCCATGGTGTGGAGTAGACACACCAGAAGAGAGCAACGATAAATCTATAAATTTTTTCGAGGATTCTTTCGTAGAAGATCAATCAGAACATACGAAATTAGCCGATTCAGAGGAGTATTTGGAAAAGCTTTGTAAGTTTTTATAAAATTGTATCGTTTCTTTTATTATTTTTCTCCATAAAATTAGATAATATGTGTGACATATGTTAGTCGTATGTTTTATTTCTAATGTTGCAATTAAAAATTCTTCAAATCTATGTTAATTCTTTTATTATTTAATTATTTTATTTTATTTTATTTTAAATTCATCATTTTACATAATAAAAGATTAATAAATTGTTAAATAATAAGTTTCTTGTAGTGTGATGTTAAATGATTACATACATTTTGAATAATATTGAAATTATGTTATAGATTGCAGACTTAAAAATCTTCAAAAGGGTACATCAAAAAAAGATCTTGTATCATCTTTATCTGTAATAAAAGAAGATACTATTGCACGTTTAATAACCTCTGGGTATAAACTTGAAGCAGAAGAAGAAACTGAACTTGTTTCAAATCCTTTAATAAGACATATAGCACCACATTTGCAAGTAATTATAGAAATATTAGTTCTGTCATTTATACATTATATTTATTGTTAAAGAATATTTTATTTATGATTTTCTATTAGCAATTATATTGTATTTTAAACATCATATGTATTGTATTTTAGGCACTAACTGCTAGTGAATTAGTTCATCTTTTGAAAGCAGATGTTCTTCAAGTAATTAATGAATCTGAGCAACAAGGAGAACAAGCCACAGAGATAATAACAAATCAACAAGTTATAAATCATCAGTCAAAAGACCAAAGCAGTGATTAATCTTTTAATCAATTATGTCGATCAAAACCCTATCAGGAAAAGTATTTTTAGTAATAACTGGTGCAAGTCGAGGAATTGGAAAACAAATTGCAATATCATTTAGTTCAGTATTGGAAGAAGGTTCACATGTTCTTCTACTAGCAACGAATTTAAATGCTTTGAATGAAACTGCTAAAAATATTCCTACCAAAGTATCTGTTGATACTGTTAGTGTTGATTTGAGCAAAACAACAGAAAATAAATTGCATAGTAAGTATTTTGTGTATATAAATATAGAATAAATTTTAATATATATAAAC